AGAAAGAAAGAACCCCAAAACAAGGGAGGAAAGTGCACAACCACTGCAAGGAATTTCTAAGGTTGAATATGTGATATCTGTCACTGCATCTCTATCCTTTGGGGGTGAGGAGGGAATTGTAGGTTAGAGTCAGATGTACTGCATGGTAGGGCACTCTGCTAATCTTGCTGAACTAATTACTGTTGTATTTTATTTTTATTTCTTTAAAAGAAAAACTGATAATATAGCTGTAAACTGGTACGTTAGCAGCAGGAAATTCAGTATCTCATTAAATGTGTCCTGAAACCTCTGGTGTGTACGTGAAACTGCCTACCATCCAGTCACATCCAACATGGTGGACCTTTATGAACTGGTTTTAGATGTTATAGTTAGCCTAGAATTAAAGCTGTGAAAAAAAACCCCTGAAAAACAAACCCAAGCAAACAAACAAAAAGGTCATACCAAAGTACGTATGTTAATGTTAATGCTTTGAAAGTTGCCAACCTTTTTATTAAGTGATAATAAGCAGCGAACTCTGAGACAATGCCTGTATTTTCCTTTTCACCCCTCCCCCTTGCAATATATTTTGCTTTAAATTTCTTTTAAATTCTTTTAATTTTGGTTGCTTTTCCTGGTTTGTTTTTTGGAGCTCTTCCAAATGCACTTTTTCTTTAAGCATGAAGGTTGCAGTGCCAAGATACCTCCGGCTTTCTGCTCCATAGCAAATGTTATTTGCTGCAGCACCATCTGAAAAGCAGCCATTATTTGCTTGCTATCTGAAATTTGCTGAGCCAGCAGGACAGGAATGGAGAGGCTGCTTACCTGGAAGCCGAGCAGCTCCAGTATGAGGCTGGAAAAGTGGCTGGCCGTGTCTGTAGGTGCTCACACACCTCATTTAACCAACTTTCAAAATCCTAAGAGTTGTCACTTACAAGTAGGGTATAGAATATTATGAATGTCTAGACGGGTATAGTTGCCAATTCTTTAAGTATTCCAGGATCGTGGAAAGCTAAAAGGCTGGGGGGGTGTGTGTCTTTTTTTTTTTTTTTTTTTAACTTCCTAGTGCCTTTCAAGGTACTGTTTGCCTTTCCTTAGTACGGCTGCCCCATGCCCAGCTGATGGAGTTAAGAAGTCGCACTATAAATGGAGAGGACAAAGCAAAGAAGCTCTGTAACATGATTGTTCCTTTTCAGAAAAGCAACCTCAAAGCTGGGATTGAACTGTAGGGGTGTCTTCACAGAGAGTTTGGTATTCGGTCTGTTGGATATGCCTTTTGTTTTATGGCTCCCTATTCTCCTAGCCAGAAAGTGCTGCTTGCTACAGGAGCAGTTAAGCAGCCTGCTTGCGGCGAAACCCCCTTGCAGCAGCCTTCACTTTGCCACTCGCAGCTAAGACATTGCTGTTCCCATCATCCAAATCTCAAACCTGGTTTCTGCGGTGATCTAGTAGGCTTGAGATTGTTTCCAGTTGCCAAAGTGTGTGGGCGTTGGGGTTTTGTCTTATGTGTGTTTGTTAATATCTTGTAGTATCTCCTCTCTTGCATGTGGCAGTCTTGTACTAAAAATAGGGTATCACAGTACTGCAAAATACTGTTTTTCTTAAAAATCTTTGACTGGATGCTGTATTTTCTCAGAATGTAATTCCTCAGAAACAGAAAAAGCCAGAACAACGCTCTAAGTTACCTGATATTTCTTAAGGATGTCGGTTTCTGCAGTTGGTATATCAAAGCTGAAGGTGTGAAGTTCACTTGCTCAAGTAACGGAGCATCAATTTGTATGATGACATCATAATTGCATTGCTGCATATAAGTTAATTTTGTTTCTCGTCTGAAATAATTCAAGTATGTTCGATGCGATTCTGAGACCCTCAGGATGTCCACCTTCCTTCTGCTGCCTCTGAGAGTTAAAATCAAGTACGGGTCCAGATCATTTGTAGGCCAAGTAGCAAAGAGAGAGAGTACTGAACAGCAATGCTGCTTCAAAGGTTTGCGATGATTTTTGGATCTGAAAGGCAAGTAGGGTTTCTTATATCCCTCCAGCTTATGACATTCACTTTAAAACGGAGTGAAGGTGTGATGAGTGCTTTCTTATAGGCTTAAATTTAATGCTTGGGCTTGTCAGCTTTAATAACAGCCTATGATTTCCCCCACCACCCCTCCAGCAGATACTGCTCTGTTCAGTGCTGTTTGTAAACTGAAAGTAGGCTGATCTCTCATTGCTTCTCTGAAGATTTTATTGGCTGCTTGGATGTAATTATGAAATAATTTATTGCAGTCCAAGGCTGCAGAGTATTTCAAACTATTAGTATCAAAAAAAGTTAACTATGAACTACTAAGTATGCCCATTCCTTAGTTGCTTACTTGAAGACCCCTGAACTTCTCGATGAAATAAAAGCTGGTGCTATTACATGCCAAATAATTGCGGTAATAATCTTGCGAGAGGTTACTGTGTTGAATTGTTTTCATTCCATGGATTCTTAAACTGAGAAGGATCTTGAGCATTTCCTCCGCAGTTTTTCATGGGCTGAGGATTGGAAAAGCTGAAATCTGCTCTTCCATAGGGGACTGAGGCCACTATGTTTTCCCTTGTGTTAGCCTGTCCTAAGTGAGTAAAGACCTCCTTGTGCATTTGTGCTTTTGCTCTTGGACAAGAAAAATATCGGGAACCCTTAAAAGCAGAAGCTCTGAGGGTTCAGGTGATCTTTTTTCTTCAGGATAGCATAAATTTGCTGTTGTTGCACTCAAAAAAGAAGCACTTCATGCCATTTCCCATCCAAGACCTGTTTCCTTAACAAGACTTTTGTGTATTTTTACCTGTAGTATTTGTTACTATATGATAAACACTTGTCTATGTTTCAGTCTCTCCAGATGTTTGTAAATGCTGGTTATAGCTCTTCTGCCTACCTGTGTCTTGTTTTATCTTACGGTTCTTTTCTTCATAAGCCAATCTCTGGTTGCTATTAATCTGTGGTGGGTTTGGGGTTTGTTTGGGGTTTTTTCTCCCCTTTTCTAAAGTCTTGAAAAAGTTGGTTTGAAAATAAAGTAGCATAGATGAGCCTTTTGTCTGATCCACTTTTCTGGGGTGATTTGTGGTGTGTTTGTGTTGCTGGTATGCTTTATGTACAACTGCGTTGATATTTGGGCACACAAAAGTTCTGGGGAAAGGGAAAGCAAACTTGTTTGTCTTATATTTATACTAATCATTAACATTGGGGGGGTTTTAAAATTTTTTTTTTTTTTCTTTTTTGAGGCTGTGACTGTTAGAGACTACTTATGCTGATGATGTTTTAGGATCCCGTTTGGTTTTTCAACTGAGATTTCCTGATCTCTTGCAGCAGAGCTTCCTCCTCCGTATACTGCCATTGCAAGTCCAGATGCCAGCGGTGTTCCTGTAATAAACTGCCGCGTGTGCCAGTCGCTAATTAATTTGGATGGCAAGCTACATCAACATGTTGTTAAGTGCACAGTTTGCAATGAAGCTACGGTAAAATGGATTTTTAGCACCTTCTTTTTGTGGAGGGAAGTGGGGGGAGGTTGAAGTACGTCCTTGGTAGAATTCACATCCTCACCTACAAAGGGTGAGTCCCTTCCTGCCATCCCTGCAAAGGACCTCTCAGTGCAGCTGGCTGCTGGTGTAGCTAGCATGCAAGTTCAAGTGTTGCTGGCACAAGGATGGCCATAAGCAGCTAGAATAAATCTTCATGCTGTTGATGAGGCTGTGCAGGATGTTTCTGAGGCAGAGGACAAAAAGCAAAGATGTCACTTAAGTAATTACTCTTCTGTAAAGAAGGGTGAAACTGTTTTTTGTGGGATGAAGAGAAATGAAGAATTGAATTATTTTACGAATGGAAGAAACAAAATAACTAACCCACACCTCTCCCTGGATGCGTGCTTTCCTCCTGCAATACTACTCAGTCAATATGTTAGCTTGCTAACAAACCACAACACAACAATTTTGAAATGCAGAAATTGTAGGTTCTGTTCCAGTGATCACAGACCTTTTTGCTCCTCCTCCCCTTTTCTTAATTCGAGTCTTCAGCTTTTGGCCTCCTGCTTCTATTTTTTTCCTTCCTAGTTTCAGTTCTGGGATCTGATACTGCAGCACTCCACACTACTGGGGGCATTTGCATGAAAAACATGGATTGGATTTATTTTATGAAAATAACTTTAAACTATGTCCAGAAAATAGGAAGCCTTAAATCTGTAGGAAAACTTTTTTTCCTCCCACTTAAGAGAGTAGAGAACCTGCCATCGATACTCACTTTCCCTGCCAATATATAATGTTTCAGGCCAAACAAAGTATCTTGCAGCTTTTGAGACTTGTGATTTGCTGCATGAAAGGGACCTAGAAACTTGAATCCCAGGTTGGAGAAAGAGAATTTCAGTACAGTCCAAAATAAGATTACGGTTTGGTGATGTCTAGATAGTCTCTTAGTGACTGAGAGCCAGACTGAGGTCCTTTCACTGTTGAATGAAGCCATTGTACCAGGCAAGGAGGCTTTCTTGATGTTTTGACCGTTTTTTAAAAAATACACCACTACTTAAGCTCACATTTTAAAAAATAACTAAACTGAAGTCTTGAATTCTTCATTGCTAAAATATGAATGGTTTTTCCATTAGTTTGCAGAATCTTTTTTTGTTCTAGTGAGGAAATTCGCACTTCTTTCTCTGAGCAGAGAGAGAAAACTTCCAATTTTGTCTTGACTCTCAAGTTTCCTCTGTAAGAGGAACTGTGTTTCTGTTTTAGCAAGAACTTGTCGCTGGAGTTGTTCTGCTTTGTCATACTGTTACAAAGATAAAAGTGAATTGCTGTGACTTCTGATGTGTGTTCTCTGGTGGTTTGTTTTTGTTTAGCCAATCAAAAACCCTCCTTCAGGGAAGAAGTATGTTAGATGTCAATGTAATTGTCTCCTTATCTGTAAGGATACATCTCGGAAAATAGGCTGTCCAAGACCCAACTGGTAAGAATAAAAAAAATGTAAGTGCCTTGAGATAGTTTTCTTTAAAGCAATGGTGCTTTTTGTGTTGAGTATTTAAAACTAAAAGAGGTTCAAGCCTGGGCCTCTGTACACGGACACTTACAGAACATTACTGAATTACTGCAGAAACAGGTTGTGGTAGTGTCAATTTTGATTTTTTTTTTTTTTTTTAAATTAACTTTAAAGAAGAAAACATTTTCTTTTTTTTTTGATTTAGTGGTAGTCTCAAATGTATGTTTCCCATTTTAGCTACTTCATAAGGAACAAATGGTATAAAGAACAACTGAGAAGAAAACCACTTCTTGTTTCCGGGACTTAAAATTCATAATTTCTTGCAAACTTAATTATTGTAAACACGCAGGTTGCTCACTTTGCCTGGTTCAGAATGGGGACTTCAGAATTAAATGGGAGAGGGAGCAGTAGGTTGGCTTCAGTCCTGTCCTCCCTTCTTTGGTACGCTGAATTTTCAATCTCCTCTCAGCTGTCAACTTTAATTTACACATTTGTTATAACAGAAACAAGTGTGATTGCCGTAGTGAGTGTTCTTACTGTTGGGCTTAGGGTGTTAAAGACCCCACTGAGGTAGGAGTAATTTGATTGTAAGTGGTGCAGCTCTAACAGGAGAAACTGAGCTGAAGGCTAGGTCTGCAGGTACTTGAATGGAGGCTCTACCACACCTAGTGCTCTAGTCACCAGTCTGTTGGCTATTCTGGTTTTGAAACATAGTTTGAGACTTGGCAGGGGGTTTTTGTTTGTTTGTTTTTTGGTTTTTTTAAAACTAATGCAGTGTTGGGGAAAACGTCAAGATGTTCCAAGCATTTTCTCAGAGTGAAAAAATGTTCGTGGGATACTTCACTTGTGCTACATCATATGGCTGGTAACAAAGATGAATCAGAAACTCCCTAATTTTATTAAAATAATCTCAAAAGCCTGTATGTCAGCAGTTTCCCTAAGATGGCCTATGTATTTGCCTCACTAGAAGATGAGCAAAATTGGGGTACTTTGAAGGAGAGAGTTGGGAGTATGCCCTAAATGGAAGGCTCCAGATTGAAGGGAGGCCGTCCAGAATACAATTTTGGTTGTATATGGAGAGAGATGCAGTGCAAGTTAAATAATGCTTTAATTTTTCCCGTCATGTTTTTTCATGCTAGGAAGTCTGATCCTCATTCTGCCTTGAGTTGGTTAATTTGGGTACTGTCATTTTGGACAGACAAATTGTATAATTAAACTGGAAACACGTTGAACATAAAAACAAATACTTACGAACTGTTTTTTTTAAAGTAAATTGGTTGCACTTAGTCTACCTGGGATGTTTTTTAGTTCACTCAATTTGAATGGAATTTTTACTGTACGAATGCAGATATGCTGCTTATATTGACATGGTTGTCAGTAGTGTGGGAAGGAGGAGTATCTGACTTTGTGAGGAGAACTAGGTTATGGAAGAGTCCTTACTCTTTCTATGTGTTTCACATGGGTATGTACATTCCAGTTTACGGTCTTGCTCAGCCTGGGTATTAAGATTTTGTTTTCCTGAGGCGTGTTTCTGCCATATGATGGCAGGTCTTTGATCTCTACAGGGTTCTGGCTTGTATGGCTGATCCTATAGTAAAAGAGAATGTTTTCAGAACTGAAAAGGAAAGCACTTTGGAGAGAGACCAAAACTGGGTGCATCATCTGTTTAAAAAGCAGATGATAGTTTAAAAGTGTAAAATATTTGGTAGCGACTGAGCTAATCGCTTAAACGCATTGTCCTTCTCTTTTGCTAACTTAATTACATGTACATCTAATGTTCTTAACACAGTAGACGCATCATTACTCTTGGTCCAGTAATGCTGATCCCAGAAGAGCAGCCAGCTCAGCCTGCCTTGCCAGTTCAACCAGACGGGACCAGAGTGGTATGTGGGCACTGTGGAAATACGTTCCTTGTAAGTAAAGCACCAGATTCTCCTTCTCACCTCACCATGCTATCACTTAAGCTATTTTTGTAAGCACTTTTAAGAGCATATTGCCTCACTCTATGGCATTGAGGAACTAAAGCTGCTTCTGTGCTCATATTGCTATGGGATAGTCTGTGTTTGGTTACCTTTACATACATTTCAAGAAAACTTCCAACAGTCTTGCTGTGCATGCATGGATAAAGCCCAAAGTCAGTCTTACTGCTCAGAGATACAAGAGTAGATGGTGTTGGAAATTATGTTTCTATGTTCTGTTTAGACTCACAATGATAGTTATGTTCTGCAGAGATTAAGATGGTATATGTTCTGTCATTGCTGTATGGACCCCTGAAAGCTGTTTGTTACAGTTTTCCATTAGCATATTTGTCAGTTATAGAACTGGAGATTTTGGTTTGTATGTGAGACTGAAAGTTTCTCCTGGTTTTGTAGTGGAAGGATGCAAAACATACTCCTGCTTTTAAACCATTTTTGTAGTCTTTTACATGAATAAGGGGCTGCCATATTTGAATTTTGATTTAGGAAGGGTCTCTGCAATACACAAGTGAGTTAGCTTTAGCTTCATCAGCTAGTGGTGCTAGAATGTGTGTCAGGTTTGTGAGTTACGGGAAATGGTTAAGATAAGTGGTATAGCTAAGGGACCTCCATAGTTACCTGAGTGGTGTTACCTTCCTGAAACAAAGGATCGTAAGGTACATAAAGGCCAGAGAATACGCAAGTGCATTTTGTGAAAGGGAAAAGGAAGCTTAGGGGATGGCACTCCATGTTGGCTTGTATTAGCAGTGAGAGAAGGATTTGCGTGTGATGGGCTCTATAATGGAATAGACTTGTTCCTTCAAACCTTTACTTTAGGTTTATGGATCAGTGAGGTGCACAATAATGGCTTAACTTCTGTAGTAGATGGTGAATGCAGGGAGTAGGAGATGGCTCTTAACGCCTTTTTTTTTCAAAGGGGAACTAGGGATTTGGTTATGAATTTACAAGTCATGTAGTATCTGAGAAACCATTAGAGAGATGCTTGAGAAATATTCGATCTACTAATTCTATATATTAAAAATACATATATATTCCTATTATAACCCTTGCTGAAGAACAGTAGTCTGTAACTGGAGATAGCTAGAGCTGGTTTTCTGCTTGCTTTTTTTTAAATGCAAGTCTATATGTGACCTTAACTAGTAAGAACATTGTATGCAATATAGAATAATGTTACTAACAGAAAACTACTGGATTTACAGGAGAAAAATGCCATCTCAAGTACATATTCTAAACCAGGAATCTTTTATTAAAGGTTGCCTTTTCTTTTAGGGTTGTTGTTTTTTTTTTAAATATAGTAGCATGTTTCAAACTGTTAAGTACCTGCATGACCACTGTAGTTTGATACAGAGTCATAATTTAATTTTGTAATGCAGTTACATTTTTTAGCATAGGTTTAAAACTGCACAGGCAAAAGCAGTGCTGTGGAAGAGTTACGGTATTATGTCGTCTCTTAATACAAAAGACCATCTCTACTATGTGATTTAATCTTTTTTTTTTTTAATTAGGGAGAGTCAGTGTTATGGAGTAAAATTCTCATTGCTAAATTAGTGGCCTATCTTTGGGGACTTTCATAAGCATGGGAGTTTTATTTATCTTTATCCCCTATTTACTTTCTATAAGTGCCGCCCAAATTAATTTTGTAGTTTACACTATGAACTTTCCTCAGGGAAAAAAAAAAAAAACATAAAGGCTGGTTTTGCCCATAACTACTAGATTATGCCTTAAAAGGCTAAGTTTTCTAATTTGGAATTTGTGCAGGTGACTTCAGATCTGATGGTTGCTTTAGGGAACTGCATAATTTTGAACTTTTTAGTCCTATCTGCCAGTAAGACCAATTTACCACTTCACAGTACACTGAAAAGAAACCCTCAAAAACAGTAGAAATTTGAAGCGTGTATTCTTTTATGCCGAGTTACCAAGAAACAAACCCTTTTTCCTCACTTTATACAGCTTTCCCACCACTCTTTTGCTTATACCTTTTTCTGTTACTAAGTTTGAGATTCTGCAAATAAATTTTTTAGTTAAGAAAAATCAGAAAATTGCTTGGGTTTGAGAGTGAACAGAGAAGCAAAAAATAGAAGTGCTTTAGTCAGCCTGGAAACTCAGCTTCAATGAGGGTATTTCTGCCCTTTGATATCTCCACATTGTAAAGCAAATATGTAATGTTAGATTACAGCAACTCAGTAAGGTATCTCCTTTACTTTACTTGGCAGTAAAAAAAAATATAAAATAGACAAGCAAAGCTAGAATCCCTGGGGTGGAAAAGTCAAACTGTCAGTTGCTTGTTCTGTGTTCTTTTAAGAGTATCAACTTGTTCACCACCTTTCCAAGAAGTTTTTTTCTTTTTTTTTCCCATATGAAAGCATAAGTATGGGCTGTGCTTTCCCTGCCTCTCCACATGGGAGGTGTTTTTTATAAATTATTAAAAGAATGCTCCATGCTATGGAGTGCCTTAAGTTTCTCTGTCTCAGCTGAGAGAATGACTTAGTACTGAAGTGGTACTGTAGCTGAACTATCACTAGTTATTCACATTTTGTTCATCAGATTATTTTTTTCCTTGGGTAACCTGATAGAAGTCTTTTCTGTGTTAAGGTTTCCACTGTTTCTGGCAGATTTGGAGTTCAGACAACTGGAAAAAGTGGTAGAATAGTAAAGGAGGGCAGGACGAGAATCACCATCTGGTCTGGTTTGGGCTTTTTTGAGAGCTGCTGGACTTGGGCTGTGGCTGAGTTACTGTTTCTGCCAGCAGTAAGTCATTCCCCGCAACCCCTCTCCCAGGGGCCTCTGTCTGTGATGATTTGTGGCAGTCGGAGGCTGAGTTGCCTTTGGAAATGGTGGCAGGTAGGGGAGGAGTGTCCCTGTCCCTCCCTGCCATCCCTCTGCTACCGTCCTGCTGTCAGAGAGATCCTCAAGGACAAGAAGCCAGGAGCAAGCTATGTAAGCCACAGGCTGTAGGCTAAGCATTGTGGTTTTTCAGTTGTGCTCTGTCAATTTTATTTTTTTTGTAACTAATCAAATATGAAAAGTATTTATTCTAAAATAATTTAATAGAAAACCCTTTAAATTCTTTAGAAAACTAAGAAATGTTTTAATCTGTGGAAGTATTTTGCTTTCCCAAAGGACCTAGGGAGAGCGGCGGGAAGCTTTTTTTGGCAGCAGCAGCTGTATGGATGTGTGTGTGTATATATGTCTTTTTTTTCCCGTCTTGTATTGAATGTATTGAGAACTATTTTAGGCTCAGAAGGAAAAAAGTTTGACATATTCTTCTAGTAAATCCCTTGATGGATATCTGGTTTTGTCCACAGTTCAAACATTTAAGAGTTCTCTGAAATCCTCATCTGTGTTCCAGTACATCTAACTGGGGATTTGGGCTGTTGTTTTGTTTTGATGGGAATAATATAGTTTGTATTGTCGGCAGGGAGCTAAATTTCATGTAACTGTAACCTCAAGTTTTCTTAACATGAAACAAGATTAGGTCCTTTAAAGCACTCTTGAATATGAGTAAAAATACCAGCTTTAAGCATGAGTTAAACTACTTGTTAAACCCACCAAAACTCCAAGAATTAGAATGTGCATGAAAGTAACCTTTCCCTATGTGATCTGAATTCTTGTAGTTTGAATGTCTTCTCGCATTTTTGCTTTTTTTTCCTGCAAATACTTCTGATGTGTGCAGAAGGCATCATAACAGTTAGTGCTTCTCTTACTTCCAGCTAACTCTCAATGAAAACAGATTATCAATGCCTCTGTTTTTTCCTTCAATATTTGGAGCCGAAGTGCATTTGAGTTTGTATCCATTAATAATTATGGCTAATGATCAGAAATCTTAAAATAAATAAAACCCTAGAAAGATCATTAATGAGTAACTTTGGAAATGGAGTTGCCTACCCTGGAATAAAACTAGTGTACAGAAGTGAAGTTGAATTACAAATACATAAAATGTTAAGTCCTGGATTTAGGTTTGCTGCTATTTCTGGAACTGCAGTTTAAAAAGCTGAAAGAACAGCTCTGAAGAGGCCTGTCTCCATCCCTGGTACTGATAACCGCATCTTATCCCACTTTTGCTGTGTAGAACTAAGCGAAGTTTTTGACAGGGGTGCAGGCAAATAGTTAATTTGCTCCTCTGGCAGCAATGTGGAAGTAGAATTAATGCTCCTAAGATGCATTTCTCAGGTGGGGAGTATTACAGCAGCTTTCATTTTGCTAAGAGATAAAATACAACTGTGCTAAATCAGTTTGGCCAAGTCTTTATAAACAAATAAATTTTAAAGAACAACTATGTAACTGGTATTGTAATTGGGTGCTTCAGAATCAGGAAAAAAAAGATGGATTTCTTCTTAGTGGAGAATTAGCCCAGTTAGAAGTAAATAAAACTGAGGGAGACCTTCAAGAGACAGGAAAATGCACTCTAAATACTACAGATCAGAATCTTGCTCACAGCAAAACCTGCTCGTACTGGCAAGGCATTACAAGCCACATCCTCTTTCTTTGCACATAAAATCATAAATTTCTTCTCAGCGTTTAAATGGTGCTGTGCTGTAGGTAGGTCCTGTCTTCCGTACAAGGATGGGCTCTCATTTTGATTTGTGTTTGTAGCAGTTATAACAACACTATTCACTTCAGTAGACCGACTTGTGATTTCTCACAGAGATAAGGAGGATCCGAATGGCGGCATTGGTGGTCTGTGCCGTAGCTTCTTCCCCTGCTAGTATCTTGCAGTGTGACTTTTGCATAAATTAAGAGGGGAGGGGAGAGGAGAATTATATTTAACCAGGAAACTGTGCTAACCACCTCCAGTTGAGAAAGACAGCAGAAGAGAGCTGCAATTACAATATAACTACTTACAGAGTGAAGAACAATAATCTTATCCCCTTGTTCAAGGCAAATACGTTTAAAATGCTTGTTTAATACTTCTATTATCACAGAACGAAATTTAACAAAAACTGCTGTTTTTAAATGAGTATATGACATGGTATCCTCTGGTTGAGGTTATTCTAGGCATTACTTTCACTAAAGCTGTTTCCCAGATAGGTTTTAGTCTGTGCATGGAAGGTTATGACCATTACCATGTACGGTTCTATATATCACCTTTGTAAAATGTCATAGTAGCCAATAGTGTTCTCTGTTTTATTGATATAAAACTTACAAAGACATCTACTTTCTAAAATATTCTTTAGCTAATCTTTCTGTGCACACTTAACTTAGTTTTCACAAATGATGCAAGGGTTGGGGAAAGATGGGAACATGCATCTATCTGTAATTGTGCCAAAGAAAACACATTTATTTTGATTGAGGGTATATTCATAGGTGTGGAAGTAAGAGAAAAAACTGTATTAATATTACCATATTGCCCATACTGTGGATGAAACCACATTACGTCAAGCGAATTTTGTAATACTAAGGCAAGTCATGGGAAACGTTCACATGGAAATCCCAATCCTATGTCGCCACTGACAAAAGGGCATCCCATTTACGGAAGAAAGCAAGAAACAAGTCGAAGAAAGCCTGAGAAGCAGAATGTTTTCCCAGTGACATTTAGCATGAAGTACAACAAACATTTTCTCAGGCCAGTTTTTCAACCTTTTTATTTTTTCTTTTTACAGTGGATGGAACTGAGGTTTAACACACTAGCAAAATGCCCACACTGCAAAAAAATGTAAGTTCTCTGAAAGCAAGGTTATGTAAATTAACTGTTAAATAAGTTGCCAGTGTTTCTTCCGTAAAAGTCTTTGGAGTAAAATGTGTCTGCTGTGCTGATTATTTTGCTGAATTTCAGGGCTAAATAGCATGTTATGTGCACGTGAATTCTCCACTCTTTATGCACAAATCAGTATCTTTGACAAATCCAACCTGCATTTATTAAAATGCTCTGATTGAATTGCTAGAGGCAAAAATAAGCTGCTAACAACAGACAGAATGAGTTACTAAAATTAACAACTTACGTCCTTGAAATTTTACCACTTCATGCAGTTAATCAGATGTCATGTTTAAATGTAGAACTTGAATTGCCTTATTGTAAAAGGAGGAAAGGACATAATCTTGTCTTAATTTGAAAGAGGTTTTACTGATTCAATAAACTCAACAACTAACTTGTGTTAAGCATCTTAATGCATTAGCTTGTTTTATGTTTATGAATTACTGTGGAATAACTTGTCTACTCATTTGCTATTACTTCAATAAGAAGGAGAAAAATTAGAGTACAAGACCTGTAAGAGTTTTTTATGGTTTAGTTTTTGTTTGGAGCTTTTATTTTTTTGAGTATTTGTTTGGCCTTATCTGAGGTCGGGAATTCTTATTTTGAAGTGTTGTTAAAGGCTACACTACAAACATACTTTAAATTTGTATGGAATCTCAACCACAGGGTGTGAAGTAAGACTTAAAAATATTACTTCAGAGACTTTCTTGTCCTGCTAACTTATTTAAATGTTTGTCTTCCTTTGATAGGCAAGTGTGACTTCCAGTTAAAGAAGCAAATGTGTTTTCCACTGGGAATGGAGAACCGCAGCTGTGTTGCATGTTGTAGGAAAACTAGCAGGTCCCTTAGGGAGCAGAAGGCTTAGGACGAATGTACGGTAGATGTTGGCATGGCCTGGCCTTCAACAGCGATTGAAATATTTTACTGGAGTATTTGGTAGAGAAGTCAGTGTAGTGGTACGTTTAACCTCAAGAGTGTAACCGATCGGGGGTGGAGTAGTGGGTATGTTCTAGTTTGCTTAGGTCAAATAAACTAATGGTCTTGATGAGATGTTGCTTTGCAGGGTTTGTTTTTTTTTTTTTACTGACTGTAATTGCATTCAGTCTTTTCAGTCCTGAGGGGAGGGCTTGGTGTTCTGTGGTTTGGTTGGTTGGTTTTTAAACTAACTGCAATTATGTTTTATATTTTATCATGTCACACTTGATAGCTGACCTCAGCTTTTTTCTTGACTCTCATTAGGTACAAAATTATTTGCTGTTTAACCTTAAAAAAACCAAACCAAAACAAACAAAAAACCCAACCCTAACAATAACAAAAAAAACACACTTCAAGCAACAGTCCAAAAGTCATACCATGTGATCTTTTGGTCTGTCTTCTGTTGATTTACGTTGCTTGTATTTTAAAATCCAGCTGGAGTCTAAGGATTTCTTAGTATTCTTGTCTATAAAGTGCAAAGCATGCTATCTGTATGTAATAAAACCAGCGCATCTCTGCAGGGCAATTTGTGAAAATTACAGCTTGTGTGGCAACTGAGTTGCAGAATACAAAACAAATTTTAACAAATGGGCATTTCTGTCCTTGGGCTGAGGATGCAAACTATGGAATATTGTAATTGAGCTTTGAACGAGTTGCTTGGTGTCTTCCCGCGTTTGAGTTGCGATGGTCAGGAGTTCTGCATTTGTGATGCATGGACTTAGGGCACAGCATAGATGAGGCAGAGCTTTGAGTCGTGATGATGGAATAAATAACTGCAGTGACCTGCTGCTTTCTGTCAGCCCTTTGTCAGAGGTTGTGGTACCTGTAACCAAGTAGTCAGAAGGGAACGTGGGGTTCTTTATTTCAGCTTATTAATGCAAATCTTCTTTCATTAGTAGCTGACTAGTCAGATGCAAAACTATACATTCCTTCTGTTGACTCAGTTGATGATTGTCACTGAAAGAAGGATAGTGTAGACTGAGGCAAAAGGCACCTTGAATCACTGCAGCAGTAGGTTTTTCAAGAAGATACCTGCTGCGACTTAGATTCTCAAATAATTTTCATAATTTTGTTTCAAATGTTTTTAAAAGTGCAGTGAATCTCTGCAAATAGCTTGTTTGTGACCATCTATTTGGTTGATGGAGACTAGATCTTAATATTAAGAATACCTTGTAAAACTGCAGGAGAAGTTAGGAGTTATTACACGAAAAGGTCAATAACAAACCAATCTTCAGTGAAAATAAAGCGATTGTACCTCAGAGTACATAAACAAAGGAACCTTTCATATCTGGATGTTGCGAGAAACAGGATCTTGGGTTTCTTGTTTGTTTTTAATCTCATCTACCTGCTACCATTGTGGTCACAAATTTATTATTTTGTGACATACTTTTTTTTCGTCTGTGTCATCGTCCCGTGTTCCCACCCCACCCTCCAGAGTAATTTTTTTGCAAAATAACTTGGGAAATGTAGGAAATTAGTTGTGATGCAGAGAGTAAAATCTCGTTTGGTAAATGACCAAATCTCTTTGGAAATGGACTACAAACCTGGTCATGCCAGTATAGGTAAGGTGTTTGCAGAAGCCCTACTGATGCGTAATGGTTCTGCCTGACATAGGCTCTTATTTGCACATTATCTACTGCATTGGGACAACAAATGTAGCTAACGAGGAAATTGTTGCAGTATAGTTTTATTTTATAGTGTAGAGGATGACACTTGGGAATGGGGGAGAAACTGGTTTTTCTACTGTTTTAGTGTTCTTTTGTGTTTCAAAATACAAAAGACCAGATGTTTCCCAAAAGAGTGAGAGGTTCAAGGAAGGCTTCTGGTATTTTTCTCATTTAATGATGGAGAAGAAGCAGAGCTGTTTTTTTGTCTGCTGCTCTCTTTCCCAAGCTGTGTATTAAATCATCTAGAAACTTCAGGATCATGAATACAGCTACTAGAAAGAGAATTAAATGGTACAAGGTTTTTTTTCAGAATGCCAAATCTCTCTTTTCCCCCCCCACCCCCCCCTCTAGAACCCACTTATTTTTCTTTTCAAGGTCTGACAAAATGATGAACCCTAGCGAATTTATCCATTTTTTTGTCCCATAAAGTCTGCAGGACCTTTAGGAAAGGGAAGGATGTTGGAACCTCGTCACTACTATGGAGGCTAGTTTCAGCAGTACTGTTCACCTTCAAAATACCGGCATTTTGATCTTCCTCTTAAAAACCCTTCTAAAAGCATGTCTGAGAGCACAAAAGATCCTGCATTCATAGAATTATAGAATCATTTAGGTTGGAAAGGACCTTTCAGATCGAGTCCAGCCGTTAACCGAACACTGCCAAGTCCACCACTAAACCATGTTCCTAGGTGCACCATCTGCACTTCC